AGTTACATAGTTTCTCTCTAATCTTTGCATTATTTGCATTGCAAATAACAATGACAACCCAAGATAAGTGGCATTTTTATTCATCCTTTTAACCTGTCACCTGGTCCCTGTTTAGAGGATCCCTGTTGAGGATGCGAGCCCATTATTAGCCTCTGCATAGACCCAGGTAACGTCATAACATTTTGTCAGCACTTTGAGAATGAGCCATTGTCATTCAAACATAATTACAGGTCAGGCCCTATTATTGGAAATGCAGGAGAGTGACCTGAAGAGATCACACTGCTTTTATAGCATTTCATTGTCATTTGAAACGGCTCAGAGGTCACTTCACCTGAAGGCATGGAGGGTACCTTGTAGTCACTCAGCAGACTTCAATATTGGATGTGCTTTTCAGGTGTGCTGTCAGAAAGGTTGGAAGGTGAATATTAGGATCTCATGCAAGCACCTTCTCAAGGTTTTAACAAGACAAAAACTCCATTAGTAAGTTCAATTATGGGCCATTCTTATTGTGAATTTATAACATTATGTTTTATTGTGGTTTTCACTTTGTGATAACATAAACCTATGGCTCAATAGTGGCACCTATCCAACAGTGATGATGTTTATCAAGAACTATTGGTTCCACTGCTTTCCCAGATCGGCGTGCATTTCCTTCCCTGCAGATAAACTATCTATTAATGCCCAAGGTGTTACAGTTTACTAAAAACTAGGAGCAGATAAGATGGAGATTACAGTGGCACTATCTCCAGCGGAGGCCAGCGAAAGGAGAAGATACACAAGAAAGCGTGCTGCACAAATCAGCACACACACAGGGGAGAAGGCCAGAATACGTTTGTTTCCAAGTTGGATTGTACCTCTTTTGTGGTATAGCTCATTTTGAAGCCAGCGTGCCCAGGGGTACTGTTTGAAATTAATACTTTATTGTTGTTTTGTTTTTCTTCTTCATGTACATTTACATGAAAGCTGTTCAGCGATTTCCAAGTGTCTGCATTCTTTCACCCCTCAGTCTCACTGGTGAAGCCACTGGAAGCTGTTGTGGTTCTGCGTAGGATATCAGGGAGGTGTGAAAGAGTCAGAGCAGGGAATATATGCCCATCCTTCTGAGGGTGTCAGGGCCTTGATAAGTCCTGTTTAAACTTTACCCTTTGCAAAATGCCATGTGTCAACAGTTGCCCGTGGCCAAAGCGCTCTGATCTGGTTCGGCAGAACACCTGGTGCAGCCCATCTATCCCCATTATACCTTGGCTGGCAGTGGGCATGGTTATAATTCTGCAACCAAACTGAAAGGTTAAAAAATTAACAAACAAACTGCCATTTTCTTCTTTCCTATATATAAATTTCCACCTTTTTTTTAGACAGGACAGCTTGAGAGATGGACAGGAAAGGGGGAGAGAGAGATGGATGGGCATTTGAACCCATGGCCAAGTACTCAGCCTTGGTACATAGGGCGCCAGCTCTACCAGGTGAACTGCCAGGACGACGCAAAAAACTGCCAATTTCGACGAGGAACCAACAGTGGAAGCAGCCGGAAGTAGAGTTCAGATGGTTTGCCGACAGTTCTCCTCTTGCAGTCTTCCGCAACGTCTGGGGCAGTTGGCACTAGTTGCGGAAAGTCTCAGACAGGTGTTATGTCGGTTGTGAGTGGTTGAAGCCACCTCTGCAGCTCCACTAACCTCTGCCACACTATTTGTCACTTAGTGAAGTCCTCTAATCGTTAATGGGTCTCATGGCAGATCATTTAAACACAGAAAAGGGGGAAAAAGGTTTAAATGCACTTCTTGTTATTGCAATATGCCCTGATGGATATCAGCATTAGAAGGTCTCCACATAGCCTAATTAATGCTTAATCATGGTTCCCATGGTGATTATGTAACATTTTATTATATTTGGTTGAAATTATTTACAAAGTGCACTTCAGTCAAATACATCAGCAAAAATATAACACATGCTGCATTACTCTTTAGATTCAATTGATTTGACAAACACACTTCAAAGTCTACAACGTTAAGACTCATATACTTACGGTGCTAACACACCCACACACATATATACGACACTAAAAGTTTTTTAAAAAGAGGGGCGGCCTGCTCAAACATTTGCAGTGGAATCTGAGAGAGCGAGGAGAGGTGGAAGACATGATTTGGCAGTTTACCCCCAGTGTTTGCCTCAAAATTTTGACGCCATGGCTCGAAGTCAAGCTGAGAAGTTTCCCAAGACCTGCTCGGCCTGCAGGCGGGTGTTCCATGTAAGCAGTGAGCCTGGGCCCCCTAGGATCTGTGTCCCCCCAGAGCGACTGTAAGTCAGTCCGCGGGGCACTGCGGGGGCGCGAACATGCCTGACCACACCTCTGATGCCTCAGTGTTAGCCATCACTGGGTTTCCTCCTCTGCATGTTGAGACCAGTGACCTCACAAGCTCAGCAGTCTCAAAAGGCAGAAGCTCTCATCACACCTCCCACAACTATCCTTGCATCAAATATTCACCTTCTAATGAGATGTAGTATGTTGTTTTGCACTAACAAAAGGCACATTTAATGAAGGCTTAGTGTGAGAGTATTATTTGAATGTCAGTTCTGCTGCAGTTACGCTTTATTGAGGGAAATGGATCAAGGATTTCAGTCCAAGCACAGAGAATCAGGTTGAATTGTTATAAAATCAACACAATTATAGCTATTAACTGATGATGAAACAAAAATAACAACTTACTCTCCTCTATTTTCTAATCCCCTCTGTTTCTCAGCAACATGAACTTTGGACGAACAGCATTTCTAAATTGTATGTCATCTAGCTGCATGCAGGGGAGCTGACAGGGCACTCTGCCACATGCAGCCTCTAGTCAGCCAATATCACAAGGAGCAGAAATAGAAGGTAGCCTACGTCTGACAGGCATATTAGGCTGTTTTTAATGAAAATGTCAGGGTCAAACCAGAGGATTTAAAAGGAAACCTTGAACCAGAAAAAGATCATGGAAAAATGTTTAATGTAAAATGTTTAAAATGTGATTTATGAAAACAAAATATTTAGACAATGTAAAAAAAAAAACCTTTAAAGCATAGGGTAGGCTATTCATTTAGTGTCATATTTTGAATATGTTTTTGTATATTTTCTTTGTTACATTTATAAAAATGTAAACTGTAGCACATCATTTTGTTTATGACTGATAGAGAGACTTAATCTTTTACCTGATTTCACATTATAAGTTGCCTACTTTATGACATGATGGTATATATTGTATAATATAATATAATACAATATTTTCCATTTTAAATAACCTTCTGTGTGCCTTGCTATTTTGAATGATTACAAATGTATTTAATCAGTAACGCTGACTAACTAATCACTAAATCTTATGATATAAATAGTAAACTTTCAATCTTTACATGACTATATGTGCATACATAACTTGCAGTCGGATTTGGTGTCTAAAATTGAACACATGGATTACAGTGACTGAACTCTCAACAAAGTGTCCTTTGTCCGCGGAAAACAAGTGCTGGAACAAATCCAGCAAAGTAGATTTTAGGGTGGCGACACGTTTGTTTTGTTCCAGTTTTACACAGATTTTATATTTTTAATTGTTTGGCTTCACTAAGGAAATGTTTATATTTATGAAATATAGTATAATGTTTAATATTTTCATGCATTCGTATATTACTTACTTATAATTTGTTAAACTGACATAATTATTATCATTATTATAACAGTCTTAATATTATTCATATTATTATTATTATTAGAGGTAGTAGTAGTATTAGCAGTAGTTTATTCGCATAAATCTACATATTTTGGAAATCAGCAATGACAACATCATCATTCAATTAAATCATGTAATAAAATAATGATATTTCACGCTCAAAAACACCGTATTTAGGTAAAAACACTAATAGACCAAATTGATCATTTGATTCTTTCTTAATTTGAAAGATTTTGAATGAAATACTTTGTTTCGTAATCTGGCCCATCACCTCGTTATGGCTAATAAAAAAGGAAGTGCAGAACGAGAACGTAACATTTAGAAATATGTCTTGTATTACTCTCTTACTTTGTTTTAATCCCTGTTGCAAGGCTTCCTCTCAAGTTTCTGGACTGTTGTCTCCCCCTATTGGTCCATGCGGTCACTGTGCAGAGCTGAGAGACGACTGAGTGCTGCAGCTCCGTAAGAGCTCCACAGCGACTCAAACCTCTGTGCAACAAACACCTCAGACACAAACTGCCCGCATGTATTCAGACACAGCTAAACAATAATGTCTATTCTGCCAAAATCAGAAGGATCAAAGATACGTTCAAAAAAGTCTGTGGTTTTCTACTGAGAACTCAATTTATTTCTAAATCATCCGAACTGTATCCATAAATATCACCATGTATTTAGGAAAGTGACTTTAACAAAAAGATACATATAGTTGGTAAAGTTCATTCAAATTTAGGCATTTCAACATACAACATATACAAATTACAATTTGTAAAAGCGGGGACAAGTTGTATAAAAATGGAAAATTAGCCTTTTTATTTCTGTAAAATAAGGAATAAAAGAAAAAAAGACTATAAGCAAGTATAATAAAGCTAGAAGAACTACAATGTGTTTATAATTCTAACAGTTTTGTTGAATATTATAGCAGTGCTAATACGGACTTTGTGTTTGTCCTCAAAGAAAATTCCTAGGGTTGGTATATTTTCTATTTCCCTCGATATCAGTATAATATTAAAATGGTTCACATTACTGTAAGGTAAGATTAGTAATTATAGTCTTACTTCCATTATTTTTCTCAGAAAGTGTAAAATGCAACTTTTAATTCAACCTAACTTTTTCAACTTTAAGCCATGCTTAACATTTACTTGAAACCAAAGATAATAAGGGGGAAAAACACCTTTTTCCTACTTGAGTTGGATTTTCACTGTTGTTGACTGCAAGAGTTCTTTAGAGCAGAGTCATATTACGTCTCCGCCTACAAAAAGTTCCCCCCAATCATTTCCTTGCCGTCAAACATAAATCCAGGCATCGCCTCCTGAGCCCGTAGACTCTTCAGCAATCCACCAAGAGCAGACCTCTCAGTCACATTTCTCTTTAAAGTCACAGTTTCAAAGCTAAGCATTAGAAAGCGATCATTTGCTGTTTGCATTCTCGCCTGCGAAATTGTGAAAAGTCGAAGGACCAAAAAACTTTTATTTTTGGCATTTTGTTGTTTTTTGTTGTTTTTTTTAACTTTAAAGGATTCAAGTTTGTCAGTCAAGCTGTGCGCCCTCACAGACTGTCACTGCAGTCTTTGGGCACAGCACTTGGATTTAGAAAGAAGGATTTTCTTTCTTTTTTTACTGCGAGAAGCTGTTCTTTAATTCTTTCGCATGAATCTCCTCGACCCTTACCTGAAGATGACAGAAGAACAGGAGAAGTGTCACTCTGACGCTCCCAGCCCCAGCATGTCTGAGGACTCCGCAGGCTCACCGTGCCCGTCCGGGTCCGGTTCGGACACGGAGAACACCCGGCCGTCCGACAACCACCTCCTTTTGGGTCCAGACTACAAGAAGGAGGGCGAAGAAGAAAAGTTCCCCGTGTGTATCAGAGATGCGGTGTCCCAGGTGTTGAAGGGCTACGACTGGACGCTGGTGCCCATGCCGGTGCGCGTTAACGGCTCGAGTAAAAGCAAACCTCACGTCAAAAGACCCATGAACGCGTTCATGGTCTGGGCTCAGGCTGCACGGAGGAAGCTTGCCGATCAATACCCGCATCTGCACAACGCAGAACTCAGCAAAACCCTGGGCAAACTTTGGAGGTAGGTTCGCTTTGCATTTCCAATCACTTTTTTCAGTGCACTTTTACGCGCCGCTGTGCGCAGCGCACTATTTCTTCGATGAAATGCACCACCTGACTGCTGTTTCAAGTAGAGCTTTACAGTCTGGGAACATGACTAATGCATTTCAAATTATATTTCCCTCTTTTTTATTGTGATTCTGAATACACTTCTTATTCCCATGCCTGAGTGCATGCACAGAAGACTGTAGGCTACGCAAACTTTTATGTATCTGCTTGTTGTTGATTAGTTCTATTAAAACAATACAATGATTCAGGAAATGTCACATCTCTTGCACTAATTAATCACCCGTGTTTTGTGCTTTTTGGTAATTGAATGCATTTTAATTTGAATGTACAATTGTCTGTGAATTTTCAGATTGCTCAACGAAGTAGAGAAGCGTCCGTTTGTAGAAGAAGCTGAGCGTTTGAGGGTCCAGCACAAGAAGGACCATCCCGACTACAAGTATCAGCCAAGGCGGAGAAAATCTGTCAAGAACGGGCAAAACGATCCCGAGGACGGCGAGCAAACCCACATCTCTCCAAATGCGATCTTCAAGGCGCTGCAGCAGGCCGATTCTCCAGCGTCTAGCCTGGGCGAGGTGCACTCTCCAGGAGAGCACTCAGGTAAGAAAAGAAATATAAATCAAATCAATAAAAATAAAAAGGAATTTCTAGTTTGTTTTTTTTTTTCAAGAAGCGACTCATTTTGGTACTGTTTGTAGAAATCTTTAGAAACCTTGGGCCTTGAACAGGCACCTATTAATGATTAATGATTTGTCGGTTTTACAAGCCATCATGTAAATACACCTGTCAGTATAGTGCCAATAAACTCCTCCTCCTGAAAGCATTTACATTTATACTTGTATGTTACTTTATCACAAGTCCATGCAGGAAATATCTTTTTCAGATGTGTCATTTTGCAAATTAGATTTTTAACTGTGAGGCTAACTCTGCCTTTTCCTCTATCCAGGTCAATCCCAGGGCCCACCAACACCCCCGACAACCCCCAAGACAGACCTCCCCTCCAGCAAAGCTGACTTGAAGCGTGAGGGGCGCCCCATGCAAGAAGGCACCAGTCGCCAGCTCAACATCGACTTTGGAGCTGTGGACATTGGCGAGCTGAGCAGCGAGGTCATCTCCAACATGGGGAGCTTTGATGTTGATGAGTTTGACCAGTACCTGCCGCCTCACAGCCATGCTGGGGTGAATGGAGCAGCTCAGGCTGGCTACACTGGCAGCTACGGCATCAGCAGCTCCTCAGTCAGCCAGGCAGCCAATGCTGGCGCCCACGCCTGGATGTCCAAGCAGCAGCAGCAGCACTCTCTGACCACCTTGGGTGGAGGAGGAGAGCAAGGCCAGCAGGGTCAACAGAGAACCACCCAGATCAAGACAGAGCAGCTGAGCCCCAGCCACTACAGTGAGCAGCAGGGCTCCCCACAGCATGTCACTTATGGGTCCTTCAACCTGCAGCAGTACAGCACCTCCTCTTACCCCTCCATCACAAGAGCACAGTATGACTATTCAGATCACCAAGGTGGTGCCAACTCCTACTACAGCCACGCGGCTGGCCAAGGCTCTGGCCTGTACCCCACCTTCAGCTACATGAGCCCCAGCCAGAGGCCGATGTACACCCCGATCGCCGACAACACCGGGGTTCCCTCTGTACCCCAGACCCACAGTCCGCAACACTGGGAGCAGCAGCCCATTTACACACAGCTCTCCAGGCCATGAGGAGGAGGCCTCAGCACTGACCCTGCAACACAACACCCATCCCATGCATAGACTTCTTTCTGACAGGTGGCCTTTGTGCCACCACGCCACACATCCTTCATTGCCAACAGAAAAACATGACAAGGACTTTTTTATAGTACTGAAAATATATCTTTGGATTGGCTCACAACAGTGCCTTTTGTATTGGTTGGAATTGTGATTATATTTTTTTAGATATAATGTTTTAAAAAAGTTAAATCCTCTGTGAGGACAAACTGGTTATAAATATTTTAGTATGTACTGTGTATGTGTTCTGCTCTTGTCATCATCATCATCAACATTATCAGTGTCATCAGCATCCTCATCATCATGATTTGAAGGTTTAACACATCTAAAGGAGCAGGAATGCCGGGTATAAACACCCTCAGTGGCCTTACTTCTCACTAATGTATTTCTTGTACAGAAGTAAGAAACATCTGTTTACTGACACTGCCGTCTTATAATAGCCTACATTCTGCTTTGAATTTTTGTACTGTACATATTTTATTGTAATTCCCAGGAGATGCAAGAATTGAGCAATGCAGGTTCGAAATAGATTTGAATTTTTGGCCATGATATGACCGTGTCATCAGTGAATTAGTCAAATATTCTACTTCTTGTTCTTTGCTTTAGCTCTAATTATTGTTGGAAACGCTATAGCAGGTGCCATGTAATTCTACTAGGGGCCTTACTGTGTTGGTAGATGTAACTGAACATTTTAACTGGGTACTGCCTTGATACCATTGGTGCCTCTGGAGCCACAGTAGGGAGGCTCCGTCCACTGGCATTGCAGTGTCAAAACCATAGCATAATTCTGGCTTCCTGCTTGAGGAGATACAGGAAGTGACCTTTGACCTGACTCTCCTCAGCAGCCAGCAGGTCTGAGTCTGGCGTGCTTCTATCATTCCTACAGCCCCATCCTTTTTCCTAACCTTTTTCTTAATTTATTCTTTAGCATTAATTTTATTTGAAAATAACTATTTGCAATTATCTTTTTAATTCAGCCGCAGCTAACTGAGATGAAAAGTTTTCAGTGGAATAGTTTGCTGTCATATGTGGTACAAATTTGTTTATTTATCATTTGTAATTGTTTCCGTATAAAAGGTTCTTTTATTCATGATCTAGTTATGTACAGATTACTTATAATTACACGATGAGTCTTTCTCTAAAAAAAGAAAAACTGGAAGTTTTCTCTTTTTTTCATTCTAACAAATGAATTAATGGATATGGAAGCTGCGCCTGTTTTTGTAAAGAATTTGCTGGAATCAACAGGATACTTTTTGTTATTGAAAAAAGTTGTGTTCCTCATTTTATATTCTGTATCATTAGTTCTCATTTCGTCATCTTCTTAATGCAGTTTCCGTAGGTAAACATGGCATTGTCTTAAAAGCTTATCTTTTGTATTATATTGTTTGCAATAAAAACAAAACACTGAGAAATATGTGATTGCATTGTGGCATTAATTATAAGCATATTCCATACAGTATTATCTTTGTCGTTCCACTGTGTTTGTCAGACACTGGTAAAAGACCAGTGAGGTTTTATTTTTTACCAGTTATGACACACTACACACTTGCTTTCACTTGAGAACAGTCTTCGTCCAACTCAGCAACGGAAATCAAGAAGATTGTTTTAACGTGACACAGTTAATTTAATTTCTGCATTAATCAGAGCCAGCTTGCAGCAGTTTGGTAAAGTTATTGCTAGAAAAAACAATGTTACATTCAAGTTTTGGTACTGGGAACAGTGGTTTTACTTCTGGCTTCTCAGACCATGAGGTCACAGGTCCATTATTAGCACGGCCTATTGAGAAGACGTATGTCCACACCCCGCCCCCTGCCTGTATACACGACAGCTTAAAGAAACAAACTAGACATTGAATATTGTTTATTCCTTACTGGCCAAGTACTATAGGAATAGAGCTGACCTTAATAAATCAGTGACAGTGTAAACACAATCAGGTACTATTAGCTTTGTGTTGAAATTTGAGGCACATTCACAGATGACGTCTCTTTCCTCACATCAACTGGACTGAACCTTTCTCTGCCACCCACCACTGCACCTCATCTCACTGCGGTGACTGGACAGTTTTATTTTAGCGTGACTTTCACAGTATACTAGGCTACACTAAACCTGTGGTTTAACACATCTATAATGCATGACAATATGGAAATGTGATAATAATATTTTGGCCAGAAAGTCATCATGATTTACCCTCTAAGCAAATCTATGGATTTGGAACAGAAAATAAAATAAAATTTAACTGCAACACTGTTTTGATGAGCTACATAGATTTTATCACCTCAATGTTATGTAATTGTTTTCACTTGTGCCAGTTTGTATGACTTCCTCTCCAAATTTCTTCATGGGCTCTTTTGAAAAAGGGAAGCAAACTTTAATTTTTTTCACCGTTGCGCCAACATGTAAAGAGGAAAAAAAGAAAGATTGGTTCCTTGAATACTAATTTATTTGTTGGCTGAGGTTGACTGGCTAGTTATCATAGAACATCAGCAACTATGAGTGCACATCTTGAAATAACCGAATGCTAAAATGAATGCTGTATAACATTGCTTTTATATTTCATCATATCAATTAATTATGTAACCTTAAGATGCCAGCTTGTAGTTCCTTCACACGCTCACGGGTTTGTTGAAAGTGGAAAGCTGTGGGAATGTGGGTAAGACTGAAATTACACTATTTCAACACACATGAAATTTACTGACAATCACATACTGATCACGTGTATCAGTGAGATATCTGTTGTTAAAATTGCGATTTAAAGTTAGTATCAACAATGTTACTTTTTAATCTTGGCATTGTCACTGATATTGTGCAGTTAAAGCCATAAAATGGCCTTTTCATTGTATCTTTCTCTGCATTGTAAAGTCTGAAGTTGTTTATTATGCTCCTCTTTGTTTTTTAAGACATGTTTGTTCCCTGCTCTGACTCCTTCTTCTGTAACTTCGCTTCAAACTGCTGCCGCTTCTGGTAATGTTACTTTCAGGAAAAGTTGCTGATCAAAACAGCATTGTGTTATATAAACTGGCAAGAAATATAAAAATAAAACATATCAATATGCAATGACTTAAGCCTTGTTGTGTTGATGGCAACAGGATGTGATTCTACTGCGGGCTTGACTCTGCTGTCTCTGGTTAAATATGAAGGCTGACATCTTTCCCTCTGACAGTGAAGAGCAGACAGAGTGTGTGAAGCCCTGAGCCCACCTCCCACAGAGAGCCCCCTGAGGCAGATCCATCACTGGATCTCTAGTGGCTCAGACCTGGAGTTAGGCAGCAGGGCCTCAGGGCCTAACAGGGCAGAGGGAGGCCAGTTAGTGATGGCTCAGGGGAGAGAAGAAAGTTGCAGTAGGGGGATCACAAGGAAAGTACAAAAGAACCTTACTAATCCACTTTTTTTTCTCACAAACCAAGGAATTGAGTTAATGACTGACATGACGGAAACATTAAGATGCAAGGGGTCAAAAAGTTTCAGAAGAATTCAAAATAGGACTGAAAATATCGGCATACTGATGGAAATTTAGTTTTAAGGGAATAAGGGAGCACATTCAAAGAAGCTTTGATATGACAGTTGTTAGGGGGAGTTCTTAATGTAAAATAAATCTTTCCTGACTCAAACCATTGGCAAAAGTAGTCACAATGTCCTGATGCTGTCTGAGCTGGCTCCAATAGGCGTAAACAGCAGTACTCAGGACATTATTGGCTCCTGATGGAAGATGTTGCCTGAAAGTTAAACTGGAGCCAAAATTTCTGTTCAGCAAACAAGAAAAAAAGTAGACTTCAATAAACACAGGTCCATGTTTGTCCAGTTTCAGAGAATGAACAGAGCATTTTTGCTGAATTGTTTCATTCTCAGGTTGTTGGCAGTGTGTGTGTGTGCATGGGAAAATGGGAAAAGTTTACATTTGCAAGTCCAGCTCCTCAAAAAACAACTCAGATAAACTGAAATAAGGTGATGATTATTTCAAAATTAAAGCTCATGAATGATAATGACTAATTTAGCCAATGACTATTTCTACATGACCCCTTCTTTCAGTGTAATTCGGTGGATGTGAAAAACCAAAGCTAGTATCCAGTAAACCTCTTACAGGTAGTATGTCATCAATACAGTAGTTCCTTATTCCTAGTTCCTCTCGTTTACTTGTAATTTTAAACAGAAAATTAGTGTGTATATACATTTACTTTCCAAAACGGGAAGGAGAGAGTATGGAAAGGTATGGAAAGGATAAAGATAAAAAACAAGACAGAAAATACAATTTTGTTGTGTGTTTAATACACTTGCAGCAGCTGGACAAACCTCTGCCCTCAGTAACATACGTGGAGTGACGATGGCTACTTTCAGTATATTTCATCAGAATAGTGTGTCATGTGGAGTTGTCACAGAACAGCTCCCCATCAGGAAATGACATCAGGATTGAGGCTTTCCCTGTGTGAGACCACGGTGACTCATTTATTGGACTTGACAGAGGCAGCCTTGCCCAGTAGCAGCCCAAACATAATGATACATTTTAACATGTTCCATACAACAACTCGACAAGAGAAATGATAATGATTACCGCAACTCCTAGACATTTTACTTTGAAATTTAAATTAAAATTTCAAAACAAGGCTGTAGGAAATTTGTCACAACTGTAAATCTGTATTTACAAAAAAGAAAATCAGGGTAAAAAGCATCTTTTCTTAACTGTGTACCCCAGCCTCATGACCTCTAGTCAGAAAGTCTTGGCAGTGGCAGAGTGACCCAGCCAGTGATTTGGGCTGCAATGGGGCTGCTCCCCTCCAAACAGCAGGAGTGCCCTGATGAATGTTTCCGAGAAGGATCGGAAACAAGACCAAATTTTTCTTTCTTTTTTTTCAGACAGGCCTTTCCATGGGCAATTTTCCCAGGACGACCCCATTATTATTCCACAGAGACGTCTGCCCCCTCCGAACCCTATGGGTGGTCTTTCTGAAGGCAAAAGGAAGAGGAAAAGAAAAGGAAAAGGGGAAAAAATCTGGTGATACACCCGTGGAGACTGGACAACAATAAAATGCACAACAAAGTAAAATGAGACAAAACAAGATGAAGAGTCAAACAACTCTCCAACATATTGCAAGCTTACTCTGTCGACAGTGATGGACTATCTGGTGTGTATGAGGGTGCCATTTGCCTGTTACAGTATTTCAGGGAAAACTGTTTCTAAAATGGTCTAATCAAGGCAAAAATGAACATAAAACCGTATCCAGTTTCATATTCATATCTTATGACCAGTTTATTGTGTGTTCTTTGTGTATTTTTGTCACTGGTAACCAATCCTCTGTTTAGATTACCTACAGAGACAGTTTGAATTGACCCCCACACTGAGTTTCTTTTAAATTGTTCACTGCATAAAATTCTTTCTTAAACCAATAAGAACGATCAAGTGGAGGAAACCCCTGCTAAATCACTGAGAAAGACAAGCTGACCACAAGGCCGTCTCCATGGAAGCGATACCCTCAGCTGAAAAACTATATGTGCTGATTCAAGTTAGGAGCAAAGGGAGGGCACATTTCCTACACCGTGAACCATGTATTGATTATTGTACACATTAAATCAGAAGAGTTACATGAATAACAGTTGTCGGAGTCAACTCACTCGAGGGAATATATATTTATTTTAAGTTTACAATCCCCTCTTGTCAGCGCTTGATTTTGCTCACTGTTTGAGTAGACTTAGGAAGTGAGACTTTGCCCCGCAGCCATCCATCTTGCACTGGCCCCATGAGGACATCGGCCTGTGCCAAGAGGGTGAGCTGGGCCAGCCTGCTGGAACCCTTGGTGAGCTCCCTGCCTTTGTCTGAGGTTGTGGAAGAAACCTGGCACCGGCCCGAGGTCAGCGTCACAAAATTATATTACCATAATCCCATTAAGTGTGTCTGAGGCCTCATGAGCTCTAGCTCAGTCTGGGAGGAAGGTAGGTGAGGGCTGGCAGTGGGTGGGTTTGTGGCTGAGTAACACAGTCAGTGGATAATACCAGATGGTAGCTTACCTGCACTTTATACGTGTATATTTAAGCCTTTGAGATGTTTTGGGATTTTATTTATTTGATTCATATTCATGGCTATTCGTGTAGGCAATCCGGCAAGTGTGTGTTTTAGCACAGTATGTGGTAAACTATTTTCTATGATTTATATGTATTGTATGACCCAAAATAAAGTGTATAAATGTGCCAAAGAGCAAGAGAACTCTCCATAATTGAAGCCAGAAGCATAAGAACAAGATGATGGATCAAGTGGGTTTGTCTATAAGCTTCATATAATCAAGGTTTCTCATTCTTATCTTTATTATCCCTCATCGTTCAGAAAAGGATTCTCTCCAATAATAATGAGATTTTCCATCCATCTTTACATTTGTTTCTAATTAAGAAACTAAGAGCAAAGTTTGGGCTGTCCAACTGGATACAGTA